ATTATTTATCTTTGGATATACAGCAATGGACCTCTTAATTTTATTGAATAACTGCTGATTGTGCCTCCCCTTCCCATGGTTTCCTTTCCCTTCATTGCTGTTGTAAGTTTGTCTCTTTCTGAGGAAGCAGTACTGGTTCTGTTAGTAGATCAGAGCTTCAGCAGCCTCCTGCAACTTTGTTACAGTCCTTATGCCTCTTACAAGCAAAATACAGATCTATAGGAACTGATGGTTGAACTTGATGTACTGTTTAAAGGAGGAAATAAAAGACTCGTGAGGAAAGATAGGTCAGCATGGCAATAAAGGTCTGTGCTTCCTTCATTACATACAGTCTGTTTCTGTTACAAGTTCAGTGTTTGTAACTAGATTTTGAAAGCAAGTGGTGTACTGGAGCTAAATGACTTTATAAAATAATGTTGTTGTCTGATCTTTTGAGTGTTCTCTCTCTGAGATTATTCAGGTCACAGACTGTTGAGAGCGACTGTTGTCTGGTGCGGGAGATCTGTGGAAGATGCTTACAGAGGAGATTGGATTAGAGTAGATTCTTGCTGCTTTCAGTAACAGCTGTGGCATCTTAGTGTTGTTTGATAGCGTCTTAAGCTGGAAGAAGATTTAACAGTCAAAGCATAAAGGAATTTTTTTGTCCTCTTGAGAAAAGAAAGCTTCCTTCCATCTTCTTTTGAAAGTCTACTTTCTGTAGTTAAAAAACAAAACCAAACCCCCACTGTTCCTGTAGATAGACTTTTTTTAATATGGAAGCTTTTCCAGTTATTAATGTGATGGTCTGAAGTATTAAGGCATTGACAGAGCCTTGGACACTGTCATTGGCACACAGCGCTGTTGACAGAGCTGGGATTACAATTCAGGTTCAAGTCTTGCATGCTGGTGCTCAGTCTGTTTGGCATATTTTTACCTCATGGTTACAGAGCAAATAATTCAAGACTGGATTTCATTTAGATGCCTAGATACCACATCCAAGACAAAGTAGGTTTTTTGCGAGTTTTGTTTTGGGTTTTTTTTGATGCAAAGCCAGGGAAAGAAGCAGGGCAGCCCTCTCAGGGATATTAGGCTTTTGGTACCCTGGGTTACCTGTTGTAGATGGATTAGTTACGAATTATATAAGCTCTTGTGCCTGTTCCAAGACCTATAAATCTATACAGTGCTCTTTTTGTGTTTAGAAATAGCTTAAAGTTTTACCCTTGTGTCCCATTTTTAATTGCTTGGTTGGTTTGACAGCTGATTCTTTTCATTCTTTTGATGTAGCAGCAGTCAGTTGTGCTCCCCTAGGAGCACTTGGGAAGAATTTTTGGGTTACGTGCCAGGACGACTCATACTCGGACTAGAATGACTATTTATGAAAGCTGCCTGGCCAGAGACGACTTATTATCGTAGAAACAAGTTGAATTAATAGATGGCAGCAATAATAGGCTAGAGATTGCTTGTTTATGAACAGAGTATTTTAGTGAGCAAACACCAGCTGTGCATGACTAAGGATGGCACAGATCCAGTTGGGAGGCTGCATGCTTGTGCTGTCACTATGAGGCAAGCTCCCCGTCAGATCTCCTTTGACTCTTCTTTTCTTTCCAGGAAGATTTACATTTTTCTCTATAGCATGAAGTGGTTTTTGTGTTGTGAAGGGCAGAGGAGCAAGAAGTAAAACCATATGGAACAAATTAGCATGTAAGCATAAGCAAGCGGCTTCCGTCTGCAGTAGTGGGGGCACGTGATTGGAGGCATCCGTTTTAACTGTTCTGGCCTAGCTCTGTGTCAGGGAAATACCGGGTCAAGCAGACCAGGACCAAAATTTGAAATGCATTGAGAGTGATTTTATCTTGGGGAGTGGCCTTTGTTTTCCCAAGCAAACCCACCGGTTGCGGAGCAACGTCGCGTTTTCAATGTCTGCCCACTGAGGTCTGGGTGCAGTGGGAGCTGGGAGGCAGCCGGCCGGCAGAGAGCAGGTGGAGCTGGGGAAGCCGGTGATCACCTCAATGGAAAACGCTGAATCAAACAACATCACAGCCAAAATGTCACAATGCAGACTTTTTTTCTTTTTTAAAGCTGAAAAGTCGTGTGGATGTGCGCCTGTTAGACACGTGTGCATGTAAGAGCTTTCTCACAAATACGTAGTAAGTTATAGCATAGAAATTGTGTAGCTGTGAACAATGTCTTCACGTGAATTCACAAGGTGATAAAATTAGTTTTAATTATTTCAAACTGTGTATTTAATCAAGCAACACACATTCATTTTAAAACTACTCAAAATACATCTGGCCTATTTTCTTTACATTCCATCTTTTTTCCAATATTTGGCTCCTGTAGTTAAACAATTTGTCTTCAGGATAATGTTTGACAGCTGCGTTAGTAGCTGACCTCACCATGAATATACAGTTCTTTCTAGTAAGGAAGAAATTCCGTGTGGGGGCAACAAACAAATCTAGAATAATTTAGACAATAACAGGCTCATTCACTGAATAATTATCGCGTGAAGGCAACTTTTGACCTGTTTTGTCCTCTTCCTGTGCAACTTTCCTAATTATTAGGGTTTGATTTCCAGGCATCTTTACTTTGTTGCTTAGAGAATCAGAAGACTTTAGTTGCTATAGGTAAGGCGTTAATGCTTGTTTCGTAATGCTAGAAAGTGTCAATGAAGCTGGAGATGCCAGTTAGAATTGATGTGGCTTATCTTGCAATGACAGCTCAGATCAGCTGAGAAAATGAGAGAATAAAGCTTTAACAGTCTTACTGTTTTTCAAGTGAAAAAATGAGTAAAAGTAGAAATATTTTTAAACATAGGCCACTTAAAATGCTTTATTTTAATCAAATGACTATCACAGAATCACAGAATCACAGAACGTTACGGATTGGAAGGGACCTCAAAAGCTCATCCAGTCCAATCCCCCTGCTGGAGCAGGAACACCCAGATGAGGTTGCACAGGAAGGCGTCCAGGCGGGT